CATACATTATCGCCCGCGTATTTCCCAAGTTTTGTTTGGGATACTACCGCACTACACAGCATAATAATATATACTCGTTTCAGTTTTTGTTGGCTTTAGTTGAATGGTTTTTCACCCTGAAGATGGGCCATGCCCGAAAATTTGGTGCATTCCATTTGTGCCTGGCGGAAAAATTGGCAATCGCGCAAGCACCCAAGCACCTCTCTCTAAACAAAAGGAGTGAGCTTGTGTCGAAGTGTCGCCATGAGAATAGGTACTACCTTCGGAACTTTAAACCAGCTACAGCCATCACCTAATTGAGTAAGAGACAACCAGCTCCAGTGGTTGTCACCTTTCACCACTTGCTGTCATTCACGCTTTGCACTGCCGCTATTTACACTTTGCTTTGTGAGGATATAAACCAATACTGATCCAGATTTCCAATTACTGTTTTCTGATGATCGCTTAGTGCGTGAAACTCTGAGTAAAAACACTTCCTCTGTCCTCCTATTGTTTGTATCTAATATTATTAATTTTTTTGGAAGTGAAGTGAACTTATGCAGCGAAGAGACCATAGTTGGAGAGTTTGAAGTGAGGTACCCTGGAATATTTTTTATTCTGCTCGAGTAATAATTTCATACTGCGCAAAACACTAAGCACCGGAAAGGCTTCTTAAAGAGTAGTCTTGTCTTGCACATGCAGCAAGTAGTTAATCTCAGTACTGAAGTAACACCAGTTACATATACCTGATACATCACCCCTGCCCCGCTCCTTTACGTGCGCATGATTGAGTGCATCTCCGGCCAACAGCGTGGGGCCGATGTGCAGAAACTAACCACAGCATACACACCACACTGCCACCATACACACCACACTGCCACCATACACAGCACACTGCCACCATTCACAGCACACTGCCACCATACACACCACACTGCCACCAACACAGCACACTGCCACCATACACACCACACTGCCACCATACACACCACACTGCCACCATATACACCACATTGCCACCATACACAGCACACTGCCACTATACACAGCACACTGCCCCCAGCACACTGCCACCATACACAGCACGCTGCCACCATACACAGCACACTGCCACCATACACACCACACTGCCACCATACACAGCACACTGCCACCATACACACCAAACAACCCAGCACACTGCCACCATACAAACCACACTGCCAGCAACACAGCACACTGCCACCATCACACCACACTGCCACCATCACAGCACACTGTCACCATACACAGTACTCTGCCACCATCACAGCTAGGCATTTCCCAAATCGGCCTGCTGAAAAATTCGCCGAAAACAGTGGTTTTGAAGAAATCACCGATTTTTTCGCCGAATATGCAATTTTCGAACTGAATTCGCCGAAAATGGATGTTTTGGTGCCTCAACAGCACGCAAATACGATCTCTGTAGCCATATATATATATATATGTTTAAATCAATGGCGTCAAGCCTCATTCTATCGTCCATATGCTCCTGTAGTAGCTCACACTGTACCCCATTGTGACCCCATCCCCCTGCAATGTGTTGGTTTCCTTACTTGCTAGACTGATTTTATATGATTCTGGATTGATTTGAATCATTAATTTTTATCTTCCTTATTGGCCATGGGCCATCGTGGAAATAAAGAATAATAATAATACTAATTATACTGCGAGAGGTGACTGCGACTTTAGGCATTTCCGAAAACTGTCAGCAGGAAAAGACACCGAAATCAAAGGCTGTTAAGAAATCACCGATAGTTGCGCCGGAATTTCAAATTTCGAATTGAATTCGCCGAAAATCGATGATTCATTGCTTTTACAGCATGCATGTTATTATGCTGGGAGCGGTCACTTCAAATACATCATAAACGATTGTACTGCTTTGAACCAAATTCTGATTTTGGGGCTCATAATATAGCCGAATTTGGATATTCTCTTAGCCGATCGAAAAGCCGATTATGCGAAAAAATAGGGCCGATTTGGGAAATGCCTAATCACAGCACACTGTCACCATACACACCACACTGCCACCACAGCAGAACACAATACGCTACAATTCCAAAACGATATCTCCAAATTTTCGCGAATGGCACTTCATCATGGAGGACATGAAAATAAGGAAATGCATGAATGTTCATGCAGCCTGTTCACAGCAAAGCAACATCCAATCAGGATGGAGTCGAATCATCAGGGGAGAATGTGGCCTGTGGGCGACTTGGATAATGAGTCATCCGTACCGCGACTGGCTTGAACGTTTCCGCAGGAATATTTTATTCACAGTTCCCGTTACACGCCCCTGTTGAATATAAGTAGTTGAGGTCATTTATATGATGATTGCGATCCTTGCTTTGCGGACCCTTCGATACCACTTACTTTCTTGCCACGTGATTATCCTTGAAACTTGGCAGCGATGCTCGTCACAGTGTCGGCGACAAGCGACGTACCATACTGAACGAACTGAACGGCCTGGGACGCAGCAGAAGAAACAACTCCCTTCACGACATCATAGCCTTGGGCTGCTTTCTCTAGTATTTCCTCTTGCGGATACTGTTTAAATACGTAGCCCAGGCCGATCAGGGCAGCGGCACCAGCCATTCCGGAGGCAATAATGCATCCGGTTGAATTGTCCTCCTCTTGCTCTTCATCGTCGTATAGTCGCTTGAACTCCTGGTCGTCGACACCTTGGATGATGTCGCCATCATCCGCTTGGTAGGGGAGAGTCGTCGGTACATACTCAGCTTTCTTGGGCGCAGACATTCTCACTTTCGGTCTTAGCTCCTCAAAAAAATGAATGTGGAAATCTCCTTTCCACTGGTAGTAGCGAATGAGTGGCGACTTTGATGCTGGTTGAAAATATAAGATCAATACAATTGTGTACAGGGGGTGGATGTAAACAAGGTAAGATTGTAGTACGGATAAGCTTGTATATGCAATGCTTGGCGATTTCTTCTGGCGTACAGGCATACGAGAATCGTGATTTAGTGGCATATGCGACGTAGTACGCGGCCACGTATTTATAACCAACACCATCATGATCTTTACCACCACCATTTAATATATTGAATATTTTCTGGAACAAATCTGGAATATTTTCTGGAACAAATTGAATGCGGCCCCAATTCTTCAACATAGTACTTCTAATGTACATGTACCTGCGCAATCCACACCACATTATCCCACCCACGCCACATTATCCAATCCACGCCACATTATCCCACCCACGCCACATTATCCCATCCACGCCACATTATCCAATCCACGCCACATTATTTAATCCACGCCACATTATCCAATCCACGCCACATTATCCAATCCAGAAATCTGACTGAAACCAACTAATACAGATATCACGATTATGTATTCATAACTCCACACCAGTGGACACATTAACATGACGGGAGGGCATAAGAGAATGCGGATTTACGTGGGCCAGAAGAATAGATCTAGAAAACTAATAGTACCATGAATAGAAGCACTGGAAAGAAATATGTACTTGTAGCGCCAGTATCACAGCTAAGAATGTAAAGCAAGCCGTGTGATATACGCCTGGGGCGTTGGCGCGCTGGAGTGAGTGTCTGTCCGTATGCGTGTGTGTGGATTCTGGGGAAGAGTTGGAGTGCTGATGAAAATTCTTTCTGCTTGAACAGGTTTTGCAGAAGTGCAAGTATGGGGATGTAGATGTAAATGGACTCTAAGACGAGATAATAGGGAAAACCACTGGTGTAATATTATGCTACAACTCACTAAGGCACGGGACCTCATATACTATCAAATCTCAATAACATGACACGAAGTTAATGATGATGCTCGAAAATTTCAGGGTTACTGGGACTCGTAATTACCACGATGCTAATCAGCATTACCTCCATTCTGGTCACTCCCTTCATCCGATATCTTCAGCTACCTAAGACTTCAAAAACCAAAAAAAGTGTTGCTTTGTCGTCATATGACTGCATTCCCTCCCTTGGTTTTTACCGATATTTCTATTTCTGGTTTCTCGCCGCCTTTTTCACCACATATGTCTGCAGTGTTTGCAGTGTTTGCAATGGCAATACTAAAAAAATGTGTGACCCTACTCTTCTTAGAAATCCACTCCTGTTAACTTTGATTATCTATCCAGGGTGGGCTGGTGGTTATCTCGTGCTTTGCTTTACGTTCGCAAGTAGCGTTTTTTACTTTCAGAGAGTTCCTGCAGGACCTCCATACGGTTAACATTCATCAGTGCTTGGCATCAGGGAGTGGCACGTAATACTTGCTGATGTCAAGCAGGGAGTAGTATGATTGATCCCTGTATAGCATACTGCTTCTGGAATACGCACAGGCGTAAGAAATATGTTCTTGGCTGCTCCCTCACTCTGCTTTGCTCGCCATTCTGATATACGTTATAGGAGTGGAGCCTCCTGCAGCTTCGTAACTGAAATAAGAATGGTGAAAACACATGCTCATTCCCTGCGCACTGCACTTTCACAACTTTGGGTGTTTTACTGTATGATTGTGACGTTTCGGCAATTTGCCATCATCAGAATGCAATATCCTGATTTATCCGGTTTCTCCCGACAAACACTAGCAATACATGCTCAACTTGACTAGAACCTGTCCACTTGTCCTGCATAACAGCATATATTATTATGATCACATATGTGAATTATATGCTGTCGTAAATCACACACCGTCGACAACATTTCGTCCACAATTCCAGTCACACACACTCAGCGACACAACGTATAGACACAACATGTTGGTGGCTTTCTTTTATCTACAGTTCTAACACAAGAAATCTGAACGTCAGTAGCGTTGCACGTCCTCTAATCTATGCTTGTATGTTTCAATGACAGCATGCTGGCAAGAGCGGGGTTACCCTACCCCAAACTAACGTAATGTGACGTAACGGAACAATGACGATGATGATGATGATGATGATAATGAGAGATCGACAGTGAAGTCTGTCTTGGTGAAACTGGTTCTCAATTAAGAAAGAAGATGACGTACTTGCATGGCTGTCCCTAATCTCCTGCCCCGCGAATGAAATTTCTAGCCTTGAGGCAATTCTGAGGAGAATGAATTTGGCGAATTAGTTGTACCATGTTTGTAGCAGTGGCGTCTCCGAGTCGGGTGTAGAGTAGACCGACGGCTAAGATGTCGGCGATGTGATCTGGAATAGCCATGCCGCTATGGCTGGGGTTGGGTTGCGAGCAATTCTCGCGATGTGCTCGTATTATCTCCACTTTTAACATGACATCGCTTTCAGTCTGCGATTCCCAGAAATGGGGGTTTTCTTTAAGCTTGACTGCCATAGGTCCGTCGTCTTCGTCCACAGGATCAGAAAATACTAAGCTGAGAGCTTCTTCCACATGCTCGTTATCAGGCATTTCGCTCCAGGTGGAAAACTTAAATCCGCCCTCAGCGTAAAAGCGTGACAACCAGAGATATGCTATGATCGAGCTGGTCATGTCGCGAAGATCCTTGATTGCATGATCTACAACGTTGGCGAGCATCTGGTCAAATGAGTTATCGTCCTTCGGTATAACGGTGCTGTTGCCAAAATCTGAGATCTTGAATACTCCGTTGTTGACATCGACCAGAATGTTCCCTTCGTGCAGGTCTTCGTGGATAATACCATGGTTGACAATAAAAGCCAGTCCACTGTATAATTGAACTGAGATCTCCAGTTTAACGGCCTCGGGAAGGCCGCTTCCCCTTCCCCGAAGGCCCAACCAGTGTTCCAAGTTCATATCCATCTTCTCAAGGGTGATCAACATCTTGTGACCTTCCTCGGGAACGTCTGCGTTTACGATAAAGTCGACGAGTGAAACGATGTTCTGATGGCCACCTGCGTCGAACAGCAGTGCCATGGCGTTCACCTCAGTCTCGTAGTCAGCCCCACGAGCGTAGGGAATTTTAGCAACCACGGCGAGGTTGTCATGAAGCCGTTTACCTAACCATGCTGCGCCAAATGCCCCATGTCCCAGTATAGTGTTAGAGACGCGGTAGGCATATTGATCGTTGGAGATACTCCTGTAATTGATGTCAGAGCTGAAAGCCGACACCATATTTGCTAATAGTCCACCTTGACCAAATCTGTTCTGTTCCTTTCATTGAAGGCGGTGTACCTTGCATTAGAACGGATGAATCTCACACCAATGTGTGATAACATAGAGAAACTGTACGCAATGCATACTACATGTATATGCACGATAAATACATACGTCGTGGGCATACACAGTGGGAATTGAATTAACGGGAGCGACAAGATATTTTCCGGGGCAGTCCCAGTTTGAGGTTTTGGTGGTATTAGTTGACTGGGTTTCAGCCAGACCGTGGCCCATGCCGGACAAATATTGGTGAATGCATTTTTGTGTTTTATGGTGACGTATGCAGCAAAGGCATCGTATTTTAGATTCGAGGTACCCTACAAAATGGGTGAGGCGCCGTCGAAGGTTACTAATACTTATTGTATTTTCAACAGGAAACGTTTTCGTTTGGGGGTAGGTGGGTTTAGAAGTTTCGTTTTGAAAATAATAATATTTTATTATTATCGAATGTACATGGAGAATTCCCAGTTACTTCTGGGTGCTGAAGAGTGAAATCAACATTTTACTGGACTGCGTTTTATCTGCGGATATGGTGAGTGGGTGGGTGGGGGCTGAAAAATAAACTAAACCATTTCGTTCCGCAAAGCAATTGCCAACCCCAGGTGGCGCTACGGGAAAGTCCAAAATATGATTTTAGAGAAGACATTGGTGGGTTTTGGCGTGAAGATGCTTGGTCTCCGTTCGTCTCGCCTTTGAAAAAATAATCTATCTCTAGACGAAGACGGACACTGTACAAAATGTAGTTGCTGATATACCAGAAGAGGAATTCAGCCTCGTGAAGACACGGCAAGTGAAAACCTAAGTGTGCGGTGAATTGGAGTTGCTGCTGGTCATGTTTCATGAGGAAATTGCTTTTCATGACAAATATGGATCCCTGCATAACATTGTGTATGTTTATTTGGAGAGGTCAGAAGGGGTCTGGGAGAATTGAATAAATATCATCTTTACAAATATTATTCGACGAGGAGACACCAATGTTAATATGGCAGTAAGGAGGACGAACTGAAGTGACATTTGGATTACTTTACTAAAAAAGTTAAGTGATGGAGACGATGCGAAAACAATCTAAAAAGGTAAGGAGAAATGCATGTAAGGAAAACCGACGGAAAAAAGGATGATCCAAACAAGGTTTCGATCAACACTATTCAGGAATCACCGTTGTGCTACAGAACAAATACGAACAAAAGAAATAACATAGCCATCAAGTTAGAGTAGCAGACAAGTAGGGTACAATGACAACACTAAAATATCAAAGTGTGACACTTCTCGCAAAGGTGTGCACAAAACAAGGTTATGGGAAATAGGCGTGGCATATGTGCATCAGCGACAAAAACAGTGAGAATGAACAATAATTAAAATAATAATAATTAAATGGTTTGAGGGGTTTGAGGGAAAGAGACATATAATAAGTATATGTTATCGCATGGTTGCAAGGGCCTTATGGCATATTATTGCCCCTCGAGGTTAGCCCTCGGGCCTACATATTATTTCGAAAGAAAGGTGTCAGCACCGACGCAGTCCTCACAGTCAAGTAAGCCAATCTATTAACCGAACGTTTTCGTTTCCTTCTCATCATGGGTAAATATAGGGAATAATGGAAAAATGTCAAAAACAGCAACTTTAAGAGAGCTACAGCAAAAGCATAGATTGAGCATAGAATGAGCATAGATTGAGCATAGATTGAGAACCTCACCCTATACGTGTGGAAAAAAATAAAATGTTAGATGAACAAGTCAACAACAGGGTGAAGGTGAAGAAATGACTAAAACAAAATGAAAACATCCACGAGAAGAAGCATTCCTGACACTTTCACGAGGATTAGCGCCAAACAACTGAAGTGAAAAAAACATTTTCCTTCTGAGCACATAGTTCAGGGGACAACTTGCAAATATATAACGCTTCCAAAACAGACAAATGTAATACAGATCCTCCACGGGTCAAAACTGAGAAAACATCATCTCTGTTCAGCTCACGACAATTATCACTAACCGACAGATGACTCTTGATAGCCGATTACTGAATGTTGGAATTTCTCGTCTTTTCGGCTTTCTCTCCTCTCTCTCTCCTCTCTCTCTCTCTATCTCTCTCTCTCTCTATCTCTCTCTCTGTCTATGTATCTCTCTCTCTCCCTCTCTTTCTTTCTCTGCTATTGGCGCGCCTGGTTGTGATGAAGCCGAGACCCAAGGTCGGCAGAGCATACCAGACCACGCTATCACTCCCTTTATTCTTGGCTCACACATGACGGTTAACCTCCAATGTCGTAGCTCTTGACTCGTCCTTTCCACTGGGCAGTCGCCTTGTCGTCACTTTCGATGCTGCAAGTCCTGACTCGTCCCTTCCCCCACACCGCCCGGCCACTCGTCTGGTGTCTGACCCTTCCGTTGTCGTGATCACTGGCTTTCGTGGTGGTCTTCCACGCTTCCCCCCACTTACGCTCGTTGTCACTTTTAGTATCGTCGCCTGTTGGCTTCCTCCAGTACGCATCATCACCTGGCTGCGAGTGACTCTTCGACTGGGTGTTCCTGGCATTGTCTTCTTCAGTGTAGTTTTCACAGCTCTGCACCTCTTTGCTTTGCCGACTTGGGCTGGCCCAAGCCCAGCACATGCCGACCATGAAGGAGTCGATTGTGCTGCTGTGCCAGACAAAACCTCGGACTGGGACAATACTTCACGCCCTCGAAATGTTATGACTTGGAGCGGGAGGTTTTTAGAATTTGGTCTCTCACCCAGATTGATGTGGTTCCTGTGGTTGTCGGTGCCCTGGGAGGCTTGATGAGCTCTTCAACTCATTCGGACTGTGCAGGCAGGAAGCTTGGATTATGTGCAACAGGAGGCTATCCAATGTTCGGTTAACATCCTAACAACTGTCCTTAACATGTAGATGGACATCTGCTGTGTTGTCATGTTCAATAGCCAAGGGACTTGAGTAATGATATTAAATATATCAATTGTAATTTTGTGTGATCACCAACTCTAACCCGGATTGAGACTGATAAAGCTAATTCCTTTTTTAATCCCTTCACTGATTGATACACCTTTGTTTAGCACTCTGACGCTGGCCAGTTTAGGCTTCATTACTTGGCTACAATTTGTATAGGCCATACTTGAGTCCTGGTGTCGGGTTTTGTCCCTTTCGCTACTTCAGAGCGGACTCTATAGTTGTCATAAATACACTGTAACCCATTCCAAATCCCGATGTCATAATAACCCCTTAAAACAACATCATTCGGCTCACCAAGTTTCGAGCTTTGACCGATCTCAACGTCCTTATCACTTGCAGCGAAGCCTATTGCTGCAAATTCTTTATTGTTGTTCTGATTTTGGAGTTCAGATTGAAGTCCTGTCCTTTCTTCCGCTTCATTTCCCTATTTCTTGGCCCTTTGGTTTCTAGGTTTGTATATATTTATTTTCACTTTCTTTTCCTGCCCTACCCATGGAATTATCGTCAAGGTGGGACTGGCTTATCTCCACGAAAGGAGTGAATAAAGGAGACAGTCATAATTGTAGACAATAGGATGAACTGCATCTACAAGCGTGCACCATGTTTACCGGTGCAGTGTCGACGTGTTGCGCTTAAGGTTCGTCGCAAAAGTGGTTTTGTCGTCCTTGAAATGAACATCGTTCATTTCGTGCTCGGACCCTCCCCATCTCTCTGAAACGAACGCAGATTGCTATGCAAACGATGTAAAATATTGTTACCGTACGAATAAACACGGGATACATTTTGTCGATTCAGCTCATCTTACTAATTGCGATTATATTAATAAAACAGGTTGTGTAATGAAGCAGCTTAAGGATAGATGTACTTATCTTGCTACCTAGTAATGATAAACATAAGTTAATTCATTGCTTTAGTGATTGATGAATATCCATTCAGTTTCCTCAGGATTGCCCTTCAAGAGGCCCTAAGGGTCTCCACGATGAGGATGTGACGTAAGATAACAAAGATGGTGTTAAGAGATCTACAGTAAAACCAGTCCTGAAGGAACTGGTTATCAACTAAGATTAACTAAGGAAGACGATGACGCAATCGCATCGGCGTTCCTAATTGCCGCAACTGGTAATGTCATTTCCGGTAACGAATTGTCTGGCGTAGAATCGTGTTAAAGGAGGATGAATGAGGGACATCTTGTGAACGATGCTAGCAGCAGTGGCCTTATAGAGTTCAGTGTAGAGTAGGCCGATTGCTAAAATGTCCACGACGCGTTCCGGGATGGCATCGCCACCAGCTTGAGGTCGCGAGCAATTCAAGCCATGAACCCACAGTATCATTTCCTTCAGACGCATATCATCCTCATCCTTCGATTCCCAGAAGTTAGGCTCTTCTCTTAACAGAGTTCCCATCGACCCGCTAACCTCGTAGTAATTGTCGGTATAAGAAAATACCAAGTTGCGAGCATCTTCCAATGTCGAGTCAATCGTATCCAGATCCAACTCGGGACAGCACTCAACATCCGCATAATGCCGGCACAACCAAAGAGGCACTATGACCCAGCTGGTCATGTAGCGAAGATCCTTGACTGCAGAGTCGATACAGTTATCTAGCTTCTTCTCATCTGTGTCTCCCGACACAATCGTGCATTGGCCAAAATCCGATATCTTGAATGTGCCGGAAAAGACGTCGACCAGAATATGACTATAATCCAGGCTGTTGTGGCGAATGTTGGCGGCGTTAAGAAATGCTAGTCCACTGTACAATTGAACTGAAATCTCCATTTTGACGGTTTCAGGGAGGAAATGACCGCATCCTCGAGTATTTAACCATCTTACCAAGTTAATATGCATGTATTCAAGGATGATATACAGATTGTCACTTCGTTGGTGAGAACTCAGCGACTCGTGGGCGACGATATCAATGAGCTCAACAATGTTCGGATGTTTCCCTGCATCGCACAGTAGCGCCAAGACGTTAATCTCCTTCTCGTAGTCCGCAGTACGTATTTTCGGAATCTTAGCTG